TGCGTGTGTGCGTGCGTGTGCACGTGTGTGTGTGCGTGCGTGTGCACGTACACGTGCGGGCGTGCGTACGTGTGCACGTACACGTGCGTACGTGCGTGTGCACGTACACGTGCGTGCGTATGCACGTACACGTGCGTGCGTATGCACGTACATGTGCGTGCGTGCGTGCGTGTGTGTGTACGTACGTGTGCACATACACGTGCCTGCGTGCGTGTGCATGTACAGGTGCGTGCGTACGTGGGCACGTACACGTGTGCACGCACGTTATTTCTACAATCAGACCGTTTGTTCTATGTCAACAGCTGTCAAGCGATCGATCCATAGACTGGGTTCGTGGTCCCATTGTTTTTAACAATGTTTGTACTGCCGTAGTAGGGTCTAGCATGCTTAGAGGGGAAACTTGTTAATGGGGACGAGTTATATATAGCTCTTTGGATCTTGGATGAGAGACGCTGCCGCCGGTAAAATCGATGGGAAATTGGAACGGTGAGGGACGGGGAAATATAACTAGTCCCGCCGGACTAACTGCTATGGGAATCTACTAGTCCTTCTGATTTTTTACTAGTCTCGGACTAACGGACTAGCGTTAGTGTCGAACCCTGATATCCATGATAACGTTAATATAGCGAAGTCATTAAAGTTACACAGCTATATTTTTATTACTGTACTACCGGTATAGCAAGGCCTATCAACGCGGTGGCAGGAGGGCGCACTTGATTCGGTTGCCAGTGAGTTTATCAGAAGAATACCCGGCTACAGTACACGTCAGTTGAGCGCTGTCGCTCTGCGGCACTTGTTTATGTTGTGTGAGCGATGACTGTGCGTAATGCACGCGCAGTAAACGTGCGTGCGCGCATACCTCCGGCGTTCTTCGTAAGTGCGATGACCGTTCTCTTGTTTTCGGCGCAGCCGCCGAGGCCTTCCACGCAGAGCCGTGACATCTTCGGGGGAGCTAAGCCCGTCGACACGCTGTCGCGCGAGCAGGAGATCGAAGAAAGGAACCGCAAGGAGATGAAGATGTCGGGAGCGAGCCGCGACGGTGGCTCCTCCAGGGATTTCGACGACAGGTCGAGGTAGGCGGCGGCGCCCTCCTCGCAGCGAAAATTGGATTTTTAAAAAAAAATGTTTTTTTAAATTGGAATTGTTGCCTCACAAATTCTACTCGTTTTATTATTTGGTTATTGCATATTACCATATTGCAGTGTTATGATCGGTGGAATTGCACGGCTCGTGTGGTGTACGTTGCGCTCGCTCATTTGTCGTTTAACTGACGATGGCTGTTCACTTGTTCGCAGGCGTAGTTCCGGAAGAGATTACGAAGATACACCGAAGAGCTATCCCAGCAGAGGAAGACAAGGCAAGTGTGCGTGCATGCGTGCGTGCGTGCATGCGTACG